CCAAGACGAGCACCACTCCCAGCACCAGTGACGTCAGCAGCAGGACCTCCAGTAGCAGAGCCCCTAGCTCCAGAAGCGCGACCCTGACGGCGACCGTACGAGTCGTACAGCTGCTGTGAGGTGAGAGGCACACGTGGACGAAGGCGGCTACTCCAAGGAGACCGCGCAACAGCAGACTCAGAACCCTCAGTGCCAGAACCCCCAACAGCTCCAGAACCTCCAGTGCCAGCACCCTCAGCGCCAGCACCTCCAGCAGCTCCTGAACCTCCAGCGCCAGCACCCTCAGCAGCTCCAGAACCCCCAGCGTCAGTACCCTCAGCAGCTCCAAAACCTCCAGCTCCAGCGCCACCAGCACCAGGTCATCCAGCAGCTCCAGAACCTCCAACGGCCGCACCCTCATCAGCCGCCGAGCCTCCAGTAGAAACAACTCCAGGAGCAGAGTCACCAGCTCCAGCAGCGCGACCCTGACGGCCAAGGTACCACTCAACCAGCTGCAGGGAGGAGAGGGGGAGTCGACGACGAGAGGGCAGCGGCGAGGCACCAGCGGAGCGACTACGGAGACGGCCGCTCCAGGGAGACTGCTCACCAGACGCCTCAGCAACCCCAGGTGCAGCACCCCCAGACTCAGTACTGCCAAGCTCAGCACCCCCAGACCCCTCACACTCAGGCTCAGCACCTCCAGGCTCAAGACCCTCAAGCTCCGCACCCCCAGGCTCAGTACTCAGCACCCCTAGGCTCCGCACCCCCAGGCTCAGCACCCCCAGAAGTAGCACCCCGAGCAGGACCACCCTCAGCAGGACCTGAGTCACCAGTGACCTCAACCGGCGCAGTCAAGGGAGGAGGGTCTACCTGAGACACACCTGAAGGAGCAGGACCGGGAGCGGGGAGGGGGTCTACCTGGGGAGCACCTGGAGCGAGGAAGAGCGGTGGGGGGGAGAGCGGGGCAGTGCGGTAGGGGAAGAGACGGTAAAAGGGAACCGACTCGTCAAACGTGACGTCCTGAGACGCAAAGACACGGTGCGAGGTGGGGTGGTAAAACTGCCAACCAGGCACGTCAGGGACAAAGCCAAGGAAGACACAGGGAACAGCGTGGGCGGAGAGCTTGTCCGCGGTGGTATCGCGGACAAAGGCACGAGCACCCCAGACCCAGAAACGCGACGCATCGCCAACCTTCCCCGTCCACAGCAGTGTGGGCGAGGTCTCCGGCAAGGAGACACGGGGCCAGAGGTTGAGCTGATGCGCGGTGTACCGGACCGCAAACGGCCACAGAAAATGGGGGGCAGCTGCATGGATCATGGAGGTACGAGCGACCTCCATGACTAAGCCAATGCGGCGCTCAGCAACCCCATTATGCTGCGGAGAGGCCGGAAGCGTGAACGTCTGGCGGATGTCGTGCTCCGCACAGAAGGCTGCCAAGAGGTCTGAGGCGAACTCACCACCTCTGTCAGAGTGCAGACGCAGGACAGGAAAGTCCCGCTCGAACCGCTCGCGGAGCTGGAGACGAACAGTGCGGATCCAAGGGATCAAAACATCAGGGACGTCCCCCTTGCACTGCAAGGGGAAGACCGTGGTGTAACGCGTGTAGTCGTCGATGACCAGCAGGAAGTACCGCTCGTGGCCCTGTCCACGGACGCGGGCTGGGCCCCACACGTCCAGGTGGAGAGTCTGCAGGGGAGCCTCTGTGGGAGGGAACGAAGAGGAGTGAGGAGCGGCGCGCTGCCGCCCCTCAACGCAAGGAATGCAGGGCGGCGCAGGCGAGGGAGGGAGGGGAGGCAGAGACCTGGGAAGACCAGAAACCAGGGAGCGAGAGTGCATGCCACGAAGGCGCTGCACCGAGGGGTGACCAAGGCGGTGGTGCCACAGGAGGGTCTGGTGCGACAAAGCGCGACACTCGCAGGGGGCCGCCAGCTGACCTGACGCAGACCCAGATGTAGCTACCTGAGGGGACTCAGTGGTCAGTGTGTACAGACTCGAGCACACGGGTAAACGTGGCCAGGTGTCGGCCCGTCCGAGCACACGTACAATGAGTCGTTCGCTGACTCGCAGGAGTGAACTGGTGAACCCCCCGATCCTGGAGGTCAGCTCCACTCACCAAGTTCGTAGAGAACGAGGGGAGGTAAAGACCTGACAGCGAGCCAGACGGGGCGGCCGGACACGGCAGAACCGTGGAGTAGTGGGCAAGGACTGGACCCCCGGAGGGGTCCGCCAGGGAGACTGGAACTGGCCGACTAAGCGGCGTGAGTGTGGTGCAGTCGCGAAAGAAGGAGCGGGAAGCTCCTGAGTCAAGGGTGAAGGTGTGCAAGACCGCAGCAGGCGCAGTACCAGAGAGAGCAGACTCACCAGCACCTGGAGCAAATGCCTCACCAGCACCTAGAGCAGGAGACGCACTAGCACCCAGAGCAGCAGCCTCACCAGCACCTAGAGCAGGAGACGCACTAGCACCTAGAGCAGCAGCCTCACCAGCACCGAGAGCAGCAGGCTCTATACCAGGGTCAGGCGGTACGCACAGGTAACAGGCACGGTCAGCACTAGTAGGCAATGCATACATGGCAGTAAGAATAGCATCATAGTCAAGAGCAAAGATATCTACCCTCTGTCCAAGCAGCTCCAGCCAGGTGGGGAGCTCAGCCTCGTCGCCAAACACGGTACGCCAGGCGTCGCTCAGACGGGCGAAGCAGCGGGACTCTGTGTGACCAAGCGTCCCGCAAGGCTGACCAACCCGATCACCTGTGCAAATGACGTACGGGCAGGGAACTGTACTCAAAGACCCTCCACTCTGAGCGTACCACTCGTGGAGCTGCTGGGACGTAAGTGTCTCGCGTGGACGCCGCTGCAGCTGCAGCTGGCCACTGCCAGACGCTCCCAACTGACCAGCTCCAGGGCGACAGCTACGACGGCTACCGCGACAACCCCAACTAGCGTACCACTCACTAAGCTGCTGGGGCGTGAGAGACTCGCGTGAACGTCGCTGGAGCTGCATCTGGCCACCTGCCAGTAGCAGCAGTAGCAGTAGTAGCAGCAGTAGCAGCCTAGCAGGGCATGCGTGGTAGGCAGGCAGGTAGGCAGGCCGGCAGGCAGGCAGGCAGGCCGGCAGGCAGGCAGGCAGGCAGGTAGGCAGGCAGGCAGGCAGGCAGACAGGCGGCGCGATAGTGCGCGAACAAGGCAGGTGCTCACCAGTGACGGTCAGGACCGGCACTCGGCGGGCGGCAGCTGAGTAGGCGCACGACGGCGGCGACAGCGGGGCCACGACAGCTGCGGCAGAGCATGGCCGCGTCGGCGGTAGGGCAGGTCCGCGACAGCTGCTGCAGGGCGGGGCCGTGACAGCTGCAAGAGGCTCCGCGGCAGCTGCTGCAGGGCAGGGCCGCGACGGCGGCAGAAGGCTCCTCGGCAGCTGCTGCAGGGCGGGGCCGCGACTGGGACAGGCGGGGGCGACGTCCAGGGGGGGTGGCGCCGCGACGAAAAGGGGCAGCCGCGGCGCGCGGGGCTGCAGCGCGAAACGTGAGCTGGGGGCGCGGTGCGCGAAGCCGCCGCGGGCTGCACGAGGACGGCAGCCGTGGCGCGCGGGGCTGCAGCGCGATGCGCGGGCAGCGTACGCGACGCGCAGGGCTGTAGCGCGACGCGCGCGGTCGGGCAGAGGCTGCGCGTGGGCGGTGGGGTCCTGCAGGGGCGGCGCGCTGGCTTGACGGGCCTGCTGGGGCCGCGCGCTGGTCTAACGGGGCCTGCAGGGGCGACGCGCGGGCCTGACGGGGCCTGCAGGGGCGATGCACAGGCCTGACGGGGCCTGCAGGGGCGGCGCGCTGGCCTGACGGGGCCTGTAGGGGCGACGCACGGGCCTGACGAGGCCTGCAGGGGCGACGCGCGGGCCTGACGGGCCTGCAGGGGCGGCGCGCGGGCCTGACGGGGCCTGTAGGGGCGACGCACGGGCCTGACGGGGCCTGCAGGGACGGCGCGCGGGCCTGACGGGGCCTGCAGGGGCGGCGCGCTCGTAGCTGGGGCAGTGCGCGGGGGAGCAGCAGGCAAGCAAGGCAGCAGCAGGCAGCGCAAGGGCTGCACTACGGCGCGCGCAGCGCAGCACGTCACAAGGCAAGGCAGGGCGCGCGTGTGAGGCGCAGCGCAGGCAAGGCAGGGCGTGGGGTAACCCGGTATCCGCAGTCGAACATTTGGTGGGCCCGAAAAAAAAAAAAACGGTCCTACGGACCTACTACTATGAAACCATGTTAGAAACTAGTGACAGGAGTGAATGAACCAGCAGTATGAAGGGTACAAGTAGGAAACCCTAATTTGGGTTGTACCCCATATGGGCTACCCCACTACAGCCTACACAACAAGCAGCATATATGTTTGACACCCTTCACATAGACGTGTGGGGCCCAGCCCGCGTTCGTGGACAGGGCGGCGAGCGGTACTTTCTGCTGGTTGTTGACGACAAATAAATTGCGCTACACCACGGTCTTCCCCTTGCGCACCAAGGGTGAGGTCCCTGCTGTCCTGATCCCTTGGATCCGAGCAGTTCGTCTCCAGCTCCGCGAGCGGTTCCGGACGGACCTTCCTGTCCTGCGTCTACACTCTGACAGAGGTGGTGATTTCTCTTCCGACCTCCTTCGGGACTTTTGTCAGGGGGAGGGCATCCTCTAGTCGTTCACGCTTCCGGCCTCCCTGCAGCAGAATGGGATTGATGAGCGCCGCATTGGCTTAGTCATGGAGGTTGCTCGTACCTCCGTGATCCATGCGGCTGCTTCCCATTTTCCGTACCTCCGTGATCCATGCGGTACGCTGCGCATCAACTCAACCTCTGGCCCCGTGTCTCCTTGCCGGAGACCTCGGTTGGCGATGCGTCGGTGTTCCGGGTCTGGGGCGCTCGTGCCTTTGTCCGCGATACCTCCGCGGACAATCTCTCCTCCCGTGCCATTCCCTGTGTCTTCCTTGGCTTTGTCCCTGACGTGCCTGGCTGGCAGCTTAACCACCCCACCTCGTGCCGTGTCTTCCCCTCTTAGAACGTCATGTTTGACGAGTCGGTTCCCTTTTACCGTCTCTTCCCCTACCGCACTGCCCCTCCCATCCCCCTCGCACCCCCCCGCCGCTCTTCCTCGCTCCAGGTCCCCCTCCGGTAGACCCCCTCCCCCCTCAAGGTCCTGCTCCTTCAGGTGTGTCTCAGGTAGACCCCCTCCCCTTGGTTAAGCATGTCGAGGTCACTGGTGACTCTGGTGCTGCTGGGGGTGCTGAGCCTGCGGGTGCTGAGCCTGAGCGTGCGGAGCCTGGGGGTGCTGAGCTTAAGAGTGCGGAGCCTGGGGGTGCTGAGCCTGAGCGTGCGGAGCCTGGGGGTGCTGAGCCTGAGTGTGCGGAGCCTGGGGGTGCTGAGCCTGAGGGTACTGAGCCTGAGCGTGAGGAGCCTGGGGGTGCTGAGCCTGAGCGTGCGGAGCTTGGGGTTGCTGAGCCTGCTAGAGGTGCTGGTGGTACTGGCACTGCTGGTCCCAGAGGTGCTCGTCCTGGAGGTGCTGGAGCTGACAGAGCTGGTGGTGATGCGGGCTCTTGAGCTGAAGGCGCTGGCGCTGGAGCTGAAGGCGCTGGAGCTAGGGGTGCTGGAGCTAAAGGCGCTGGCGCTGGAGGTTCTGGAGCTGCTGGTACTCGTGCTGGAGGTGCTAGTGCTGATGGTACTGGTGCTGGTGGTATTGCACAGCCGCGACTGTTCTTTGTGTTATAGACTAAGGACGGAGTCTAGGAATCTTAGGAGCCAAAATATCACAAAATCGTTGGTGTATAACTTCTGGACAGAATCGTCGAGTTCACAAGGAACGCCGTCGACCAAAACCGCACCGTTCGAATTCTCTCAAACTCGAGTATGTTGTAGCTCTAGACCGTGGCTACAATTCCCAATTTGAATCGTATCAAATGATGGAGTATATCTCGAGTTATCAATTTCGGCGCACTAGGGGGTATGCTGCCACAGAAACTTAACTCAATCACAAAAGTTCTCAAAATTGTTCCACAAGTTACACACAAGAGAGTTAGAGTAGCACTAAACCAGGTGGGAGGGGATGAGGAGGACGAGAGGGAAGGTCCCAAGGAGTCCCCAACCAAGGAAACCCCATAAGCACATCAAATCCCCTCCCAATGGCAACCCCACTTCTACTTTTGTCACTTTCCCAACCCATGCCATCCACCTCACCCAACTTGGCCACACTTGCCAACCTGGTTTGGCTTCTCCCAACCACATGGCAGCTTCTACAGTGATGGGTACGAATCTCCCAACCCCCAACAATTCTGTAACCCATATTGAGTCAACCCGCAAAGTTCCATAGTCGCCGCAACACAACCATAACTTTGAACGATTATAACTTTCTCATTCTTGTTCCGATTGCGGCGATCCTTTGCTCGTCGGAAAGCTCTCGAGCAGAGAAGTCACTTCAGATATCTGCTCAAGCCAAATGACATTCAAACACGCTCATAAAATCCAAACCACACAAAACACAAATTCTTGCACATGCTCACACCACGCATGCAACGCACGAACATATGATGGGAGGCAGACAGACGTGAATGCGAATGCTAGCATCACATAACACTTTGCTCCGTCGTCACCGTCGTCTCTGCCACCGCCTGACTCCGTACTTTGCCAGGTTCTTAGTCTTCCGTCTTATACTGGCCTAACATTACAGCCAGGCTCCCCACTGCCTGCTCCTTCTCCTTACACTGAGCAGACAGACTCGCTTACAGAGCGTCGTGAGCCTGCGTCTCGTCCTGCCTCGCTTGATCGCGCTCGTCGCACTGGTAGCCGTGTTTCTCGTCCGCGTCCTCCTCGTGTCTCTGGCACTCACACTATGACACTTCGTCCTTCCTCTGTTCCACAGCGTGTCCCTCTACCGTCTCCTCCTGAGTCCTCTCTTCCGCACGTTCCAGACCCTGAGTCTGACCTGGCTCGTGCTGCCACCCCTACTATCACGCGTCTCTTGTCACTGACCCTTTGTTTTAGTCCACTGTTGCATCTTCCTTAGTCGCTGAGCTTGTTGACTTTTCTACTGCTTGTCGTCTCGACTACGCCGCTAGTCTTGTTGCTGAGTCTGAGTCTGCCTGTCCTCCGTCCGTTGGGGGTGAGTGTGCTCTTGGCACGGACATCCTTGAGAACAGGCACGAGGACTTTGAGTGTTCAACGACTGCTGTACCTCATCTTGTGGCCATGCTGCTTGCACCTGAGGGAGACCCGGATGCACCAGACATCCCAACCCCGCGCTCTTACGCAGAGGCGATTATGGGTCCCTACTCCTCTCAGTGGCAGACAGCCATGGACGCAGAGATGGCATCCTGGAAGTCCACAGGCACTTACGTTGACGCAGTTCCCCCTCCTGGGGCGAACATAGTCGATGGCATGTGGATTTTCAGGGTGAAGCGACCGCCGGGTTCTCCGCCTGTCTTCAAGGCTCGTTACGTCGCACGAGGCTTTAGTCAGCGACACGGAGTTGACTTCTTCGAGGCCTTCTCCCCTACCTCGAAGATGACCACTCTTCGGGTGCTGCTGCACGTTGCCGCTCAGTGTGACAACTTCACTCCCTTGAATTCAACACAGCTTTCTTACAGGGCAGCCTGCACGAGGGTATCTTGCTGCGCCGCCCACCTGGCTTCACTGGGTCGTTTCCTGTAGGTACCCAGTGGAGCCTCCGGCAGCCAGTCTACGGTCTCCGCCAGGCGCCTCATGAGTGGCACGACACACTGAGGATGACGCTTGTGGCTCTTGGGTTTGCTCCTTCCACTGCTGACCCGTCGCTGTTTCTGCGCACCGACACTTCGCTGCCGCTGTTCTACATCCTCGTGTACGTCGACGACTTGGTCTTTGCTACTGCTGACACTGAGGCACTGGCCCTTGTGAAGTCGGAGCTGCAGAAGAGACACACGTGCACAGACCTAGGTGAGCTGCGCAGCTACCCTGGTCCTCGCCACAGTCCACTCCTATGGCTACCGGTCACTCGCTCTCAGCTCCACCTTCAGACGAGTCCGTAGAGCCGAGTGGCCTGTATCCAGAGCTTGTGGGCTGCCTCATGTACCTCATTACCAGCACTCGACCTGACCTTGCCTACCCTCTTAGCATCCTGGCACGCTACGTTGCGCCCGGGAGACACCGGCAAGAGCACATGGAGGCTGCTAAGAGGGTGTTGCGCTACTTGTGTTGTACATCGAGCATGGGCCTCGTGCTTGGAGGGCGGGGTCCTGTTGTCCTCAGTGGGCACTCAGACGCAGCTTGGGTTGACGACCTGGCTACGCAGCGGTCATCACAGGGTTACACTTTCAGCCTTGGCTGCGGCTCTGTTTCTTGGCGGTCTACCCGCTCGTCTTCTGTTCTCAGCTCTAGTTGTGAGGCTGAGATCTGCGCCGCAGCCATGGCTGCACAGGAGTTACGCTGGCTCACCTACCTGCTGACCGACTTGGGAGAGAGGCCTCGTTCTCCTCCAGTTTTGTACGTAGACAACAAGGCCGCGATTGCCTTGTGTGAGGAGCACAGACAGGAGCACAGAACGAAGCATATCGCTCTGCGTTACTTCCTGGCTCGAGAGTTGCAGCAGCGTGGTCAGCTTCGTCTTGCTTACGTGGCCACTCGGGCTAACACTGCTGATATATTCACCAAGGCACTTGCGTCTAGTGATTATCAGCGCTTCTGTACTATGTTAGGCCTTGTGCCTGTTTCGTCTCACTTGCTCACTTCGTGACTTTGCTTGTACTGTGAACTATTTATATACCTGCATGCTTGTTCTTGCTAGGTAGTGATCACTGTACTGCTGTTGTTGCATATATATCTCTGCATGTGAACTGGACGTGTGGCCCTTTGCTTGTGCTCGGAGTGTGTGGTGACGTTGTGATCCACCCTGAGCTTGCTTGCTTTTCTTGACTGGTCTTGTGACCCCTTGTTCTCCCCCACTTTGCCTATGGGGGTGTGTCACACTGTATCTGTGCTAGTTTTGTGTAGGCTATAGTGGGGTAGCCCATATGGGCTATCTTGACAAATCAAGTCTACGCAAGACGAGAATTCGTATCAACGAGACCTAACTGCACACAACACCTCTGGTGGTCACAAGGCTGAAGCGCCTTGATGAAGATGTCTGCAGTGTTGGCCTTGGACTCCACAAACTCGAAGCGAGCCTGTCCACGCCTCTGCAACCCTCGCAGAAGAAAGCACATGATGTTGATGTGCTTCACGCTGCTCTTCTGTTGCGGCTCTCGACAGAGGAGAATCGATGCCTTGTTGTCAGTGAACAAGGTCGGTGCAGAGCTCGGCCGCTCACCAAGGTCAGTGAGCAAGAAGGTCAACCAACGCAGCTCCTGTGCAGCCATGGCTCCAGCGTAGATCTCAGCCTCAGCAGTAGAGGTCGAGACCGAGGAGGAACGCGTGGACTGTTGGAAAATATAAGTTGATATTTTCTATATGTAATAGCCTGTAGGATTAGTTACTGTACTTGTAGCATTTTCCTGTTTGGTGGTGCACCCTTCTTGTTTCTTCTTGCCTATTTGTAATGCTCGCTCTACAGTGAACATCTTATTTTGTTGGTCCAAGTCTCTCTCGCTACTCTCGCTTTGGCCAAACCCTAGGCTTAATATCCCCTTTTGACATGGTATCGAGCTAGTTTCTGATCAGCCCCACGCCTGATGTCGTCGCTAGGTACTTTGCCCCTCTCACCGCTGCTGCCCAATGAACAGGACGGTGTTTTTCTGGAGCAACAAAGCGAGTAAGAATGCTGAGGGGGAAGGCGAGGTCCGGGCGAGTATAAGTCATTAGGTACACGAAGCAGCACACAAGCTCTGCGTAAGGACCACTAGGCTCAAACGGCTCGTCAGGAAAGGGACCAGAGTCTGTGGTAAACGGCAAGAGGTGCGTCGAGTGCTGAAGCTCGAACCACTGAAGGACCTGCTGCACCATGTGTGACTGTGAGAGTGTAATGGTGCGAGCGGCTCTGTCCCTGGTGATTTGCAGGCCAAGGTAGTGGCGCAGCTCACCAAGGTCAGTGCACGTGTGTCTCTTCTGCAGTTCGGACTTCACATCTGCCAAAGCAACCCTGTCAGTAGTGGCGAAAGCCAGGTCGTTAACATAGACTAGTACAAAGAACAGTGAGGAGCCACGACCAAGGAACGGCGATGGGCCGGGAGAAGACGGCTGGAAACTGATGTCAGACAGTGTAGAGCGAAGGGTGTTGTGCCACTCACGAGGAGCCTGACGAAGTCCGTAGACCGGTCGCTTCAGCCTCCACTTGGTCCAAGAAGGGAAAGTGCCAGAGAAGGCAAACGAACGACGCAGCTAGACCTTCTTGTATAGGCTACCCTGAAGGATTGCAGTAGAGAAGTCGAGAGAGTGTAGCTCGTAGTCTCTCTGTGCTGCTACGTGCAGTAACACCCAAAGAGTGGTCATCTTCGGGGTAGGTGCGAAGGTCTGAAAGAAGTCAACTCCCTCGCGCTGACTGAAACCTCTAGCCACATAGAGTGCCTTGACGACAGGAGAAGATCTTGGTGGCCGCTTCACCCTGAAGATCCACATGCCATCGACTACGTTCGCCCTAGTGGGGGTAACTTCATCGACGTAGGTGCCTGTGGATTTGTAGGAGGCCATCTCTGAGTCCATGGCAGCTCTCCACTGAGAGACCCAAGGCCCTGACACTGCCTCAGCGTAAGTGCGAGAAGTTAATATGTCAAGGGCATCAGGGTCTCCCTCAGGGGCGAGTAGCA